AATCAGCTCAACAAGGATAAAGGAACCTAGTCTTAAAAGCTGGGAAAATGCAAAAACACAGGGTTCATATCATAAACTCTTTGAAATCATTGGGAGCATGACAAGTCAACAAGTTATGGACTTGTGTGCAGTTGAATTATTATCACCACAAAGGAATCTTCTAATTTAAAGATAATCTATCCCAATTCCAGTGGCATGATTCATAATGATTTCAGTGATTGTTGCAAGCCATGTTTCCTGCAGTTTGAGATAACATTCCCTGGTCTCCAAGCCAAACTTTGAAAAGCAATTGATACATTCTTCTCAGTAGCAATGTGTTTTCAGATTGAGAATGGAATGACATGTTCCAGTATTCCATCACAGCAAAAACAAAGCAAAGCAAAGTAAAATACCATGCCTACTGGGGGTGGGGGGAAGAGATCTTAACCTTAATTTGTCCCTGATATTCTAGCTCAATACATGCCATGAGTTTTTAATCTGAGGGAAACCTAATACAGAAAAACATATGGATGCTTCCTTTCCATGAGTGATGTGGTTCAGTATGACCTGTGCCAGAATGATCCAATGAAGGGAACACTGATGCTGGAATCTGAACCTTAATCCAGTTACTTAAGATTTCAGGCTTCTTTGCACATTATTATCTAAATGTCCATGAGACATTCACACTCTGGTCCGGTGTATACTCCTCATAGGCTTCTGTCACCCCAAGCAAAGGAGGTGTTTCACTCTGAAACATGGATGCATGTTGTCCTATGAGTCCATGACCACCGTGGTGAACCCTATCCTGCCTAAAAGACTTCCCCCTCTCTATACCAGCTGTGGGTGGCTGGGCACTAGCACATAATGTCTACCTAGAACTCCAGTCAATCCCAGCTAGCTCTGCCAATGGTGAGGAATTACAGAAACCACCTTCAAGCAACATCCAGTTGGCCACAGGGGCCCACTTCTGCACTACAATAAGATTGCCTTCACCTGAGAAAAAATATCAAGTGTTGATGACAATAACAACAGGCCATCTTAGAGATACGCTATCAGCGCTAAGAAGATAATGAAGGACCACACATTGCAAACGCCAAATAATTCAGTGTATGCCTTTGACAGTTTGGGAAAAGTAGGTTAACAGGCAGGATACAGACAGCTAAATTAAAACAAAAGCACAATGCCTCTATGTATACACAACTCTGTATCAGAGGAGGGCTTATAGAAGAAAATTCTACAGAGGTGGCATGAGGAGAAGGTAACATGCAAATTCTCAGCTTAAAAATTATAACTGGCTGTTGCCAATTGCAATAGAGCAGCATGGCCTTGGCTCACAAGCAGAAGAGAAAAGCTCGTGCCAAATCACTCCAAGGAGACTGATTATAAGCAAGGAAAGATCATCAGTGTTAAATGCATTGGCTGAAATCCTGTTGCATAAGTTACACCATGTAAGGCCGATGGTGCTATCAACAGTGCCAATTTTTCAGACATTTCTGACTTCTCTTCTGAAAGTCCCAAGACTCAAATGTAATCACTTTACTTGTTAAGAATCCTGCAGGATGGTAGAGGACAGTTTTTTTACTGTAGGATTTTGCTTGTTCGTATACTTGTCTGTATGTAACTCCCTTCAATTAATCAACTTTATCCTATCAACACTACTGCTCTTCGAGATATATAATCTAAGGTTCATGTCCTTGGAGTACAATTATTCCACAGAGGAGAGGCACATATCAAAGCATTTGAAAGTGACTCTCATTTCTCTTGAGTGATATGTGCTAACGCAATTGCTATATATTTTCTTATATGAACATTGTGAGCCTTTTAAAGATAAGAAGTCTAGTAATCATTTCTTCAGTAGCTGTAGTCTTTCAATGGACTGAAAGTTTGCCTTTGTGAGCAAAACAATTTACTAGCAAATCTGAGGCTGATAAAATTTGAGTGATATCTCCTCTGGGAATATGAAGAGCTGTATACACCATGTATAAAGAAATATTCAGATCTATCCTGCCTCTGGAAAACTTTACAAAACTCAAAACACAAGAAAAGACATCCACATGAGAAGAAAAATTAGGATCTGGGTGGGTAATGAGGCAATGACATTTGCCTTTAAAAATTCTTAAGAGTTCTGTCCTGAGGCAAACTTACATAACAGTCCAAGGCTAAGTGAAGCTAACTCACAAGGTGCTCGGATGTAGAGGTGGGCATGAATCAGAAAAATGGTGATTTGTTTTGATTTGTGATTTGTCAAGGTCAACAAACTACGAGTAATGAAGTTACAATTTTTTTCTGATGAATCAATTTGTCAATTCATTTTTTACTTTAAAACCCTACAAAATGTCCCCCCCAAGCAACACAGCTGGCACGTGAAGCCCTTTCTTCTGGCACACAACAAACCTTTTGAAGTGGCTGCAGCTGGGATTCCCCCTTTCTCTTCCTGTACTGGATCCTTTAACTTCCTGTCCATCCCCATGATTCCCCCTTTTAACTTCCTGTTTGTCCCCACGATTCCCCCTTTAACTTCCTATCCGTCCCCATGATTCCCCCTGAAACTGCCACTTACTGTTCTGGTTCTGGTCTTCTGGGCAGCACAGCAGCCACGGGTTTCTTCCCACCCCCTCATTTTTGGCACTCGAGCCAAAAAAGGTTTGCCTCCACTGAACTAGAGAGACAAAATTCTCAGGGAAGCTTCCCCTGACTCTCCTCTACAATCCCTCCAACATTGGTGAAGATTGGGTTTTGGATGTCCAAGTTATACTCTGAAAAATAGGGCCCCTTAGGAAAGTTCCCCCCAGACACCTAGACATACCAAAATCAGGGAGCCTTCCCATGATTCTCCTTTACAATCCCTCCATGTTTGGTGAAGATTGGGTTTCAGACATCCATGTACACACTCCCAAAGTAGGTCTCCCCAGGAAAGTGCCCTTTAGCAGCTAGCTTGGGGAAACTCAATCGTCACCAAACCTGGAGGGATTGTAGAGGAGAGTCAGAGGAAGCTTCCCTGCAATATTGGTGTCTCTAGGTGCCGGGTGGGGGCAGTTTTACAGCAAATCAAAAAATTGCTAAAAATTCTTTGATTTGTATTCGTTGGGGGCACTGATTTGTACAAATACAAATTTATGAATTAGTAATTTGTGCCCATCTCTACTGGGATGCATTACAATTGTGCAAAGGGACACAACAAAAATGACCCTTGACTTTTTATCAGTTAGTCTGAATTAGCTAGAATAAATTATGCAGACTTCAATATGACTCTGGCTTGTGTGTTTGCTTCACAATTTGCAAGGTCTTTTATCTTTATGCCCTAATGGTTTGTGAAATATTAAGGTGCCATGTTATGATAAACACAGTTTATTTATTGGGGCCTGTTACCTGAGCCAGGAGAACTAGCAGTGCCACCTGTTCAGTCGCTTCCTCTGAGGACTGTCTCCATGGCCACTCCTCCCAAAATTCCTTCCTTGGAGTAAGGACAACTTGTGGGCCTGAGCAGTTCTTTCGAGAAGTGCACTGACCCATTTTTGTAGGCAGAAAGGCTCCCCAGTGAGCATGGCCACATAGCATCTTGCTCTGAGGTGGTCCTCTGATTAGGTGAATTCCTATTTTAAAAACTCTTAACAACCAGTCCTTCTATTGCCTTGCTGAGGCTGTGAGGGTGGTGGGTCCTCCCTGTAGTGTGGGAGAGAAGAGGTTGTCCTTTACAGGGGACAGACAGCTTTACATATCTTCCTTTGGGCTCCAAAATCTTTCTGTATTCTTACAACTTGAATAGACTGCCATTGTATGCAATGAGAGAGGTGTACAACTGTTCCTTTTCCATGTGTTTCAACCAGTTTTTCTCAGAGCCATATTATTAATGACATTATTAACCATGTGAAAGCAGTTAATATATCTAAATATATATCTATCTAAATATGTCTGGCGACGACGCTGATGACATTTCGGCGCCAGGTCAAAACCTTCCTGTTCCAAATGGCTTTTAACTGAAATAATATCAGCTGTAGGTCTGATGGCAATTTTTAGAATATATATTTTAATTGCATTTTAATTATTGTGCCCTTTTATTTTGCCTTTTTATTGTATTTTAAATGCTGTAAGCCGCCCAGAGACCTTTGGGTAGTGTGGGCGGCATATAAGTTAAATAAATAAATAAATAAATAAATAAATAAATAAATAAATAAATAAATAAATAAATATGGAGAAAAAAAATTAACTAGTCCTTGTAAGAAACCAGAACTGGGTCAAGAGTGTTCAGGGAGGATAGTCAAACTCTTTACTACCACCCTCACCCCTAGTCCCACACACCAGTCTTGGTTTAATTTGCTCAGCCCCTGAAGTTGCTATTTAAATGTTGCGAGGGAAGCTCCAACTGGCACCAGTGGTGTATACTGTATACACCGTTGATGCAAACAGCTTCAACACAGTCATATATATTGAAACCACCGCAAGTAAGCAAGGGCTAAATGACCCCCTTCCATGCTTTCAGTCTTCCCACCATCTGTACAGAAAAATCTTTTTAGCAATTAACTTTTAAAACTTGGGCACACTTCTGGATATAAAATATGCCCTTCCTATTGCTATCCATATTCAGGAAAAAAGCACCATTATCAAAATACCAACTCCAAGATATTCAAACCCAACAGAGCCTTTGATTGTTCACAATCAAATATTACGAAATGAAAAAAATAATAAAAAATACTGTTTGGCAGTATCACACTACAAATAGTTCTGAGCCATCCATTTCGAACATGAGGAAACTAGAACAATGGGGCACTTTTGCTGAGTAATTTGTTAGCTGCGTATTCCTCATTCTGTTGTACTGTTCAACACAATATGATACTGTCAAGAAAAACACTTCTGTGTTTTAAGACAAGCCTTGTTATCTCTGTGGTGTGGGAACAAGAACTACAAAAAATATTCCCTCTGTTTTAAAGCATGTTCCTGCACATTCATTATTCATGCTACAAAACAGTCCTGCGAAAAGGATGATGACTCCAGTATAATCATCTGCGCTTATATATGCTTACATTTTTGAATCCTCTGTAAAGCACTTGAAGTTCCTTCTTGGTGAAATTGGTTTGTGCCTCAAGTTGTTCCAGTCCTTCAGGCCGATGGCATACTGTGGTCATTTCCAATTCATCTTCAATTTTATCTAAAACAAAGAAAAGTTTCTATTTGGGTCTCCATTCTTTGCTTGTAAAGGGGATGGAAGGAGTTACATATATTCAATACTGATAAACTCTGGAAGTCATCTTAAGTGCAAAGAATAAAGCAGAGCTCCGTATAGCCATCTTTTTGCATTGCACATAACATCGAAAAACAAGAAACAGAAGGTGTATCTCTCATTTCTTACTAGCATTAATACTCTGTTAATGCTGCATTCAAAAGGTATACACCTTAAGATATTTCCAAACACCTTAATAAACTGCTCATATCAAAAATAAGCTTTCCTAAATTCATATGCACTGAACTGAAAATACTCACAAACATATGGTAATATTTTGAAATAATATAGGTATCACAGAGTGCAGGTATAACAAGGAGCAGGCATGCTTAAAAGTAGTAGAAAAAAGCTATGTTCCCTAACCATACCCACAAGGAAATAAGTACCACTGAAAAGAACTTGTCTTGAGTAATACATTTAGTATCAGGGCATATAATGTCTACATTGAGCAGGAATGAAAAAATTGCTTTTCTTTTGCTGGGCAAGAGAAGAGTTTGAAAAGCTGAAGACATTACAGCCAATCAAGTTATCGGACAGGCAATGTTTTAAATAAGTGAAGACATAATAACAGGCAAGTGAATGTATTTCCCTCAAAGTGAAAGGCTCAAGGCAACATGAAGTATCTCATTGTACCCCGAAGTTTATATTTTACTATAATTTATGTTATATTGGAAGTCTGACAATTTTTATCTAGGTTTGCTGTGTAAGACTCTTATGATAATGAGCAGGAAGGCATGTTTCAAGGTGTCATCTTCAATGTTTGTCTGTAGGTAATTCTGAATGATGATTCTGTACCTTGTATTCTTTGATGACTCAGTGACCTGTATGTAGCAAAGCATCTCTTGCTATTTTGTGAATAGATTGCCTTCTACAGCAGTGGCAACAGTGCCCATCCTGACAGATCTGCCACTCCCATAAGCCCACAAACAGCTAAGAGCTGGAGCCCATCAACCTCCCTGTCTTCCCACGTGAATTACAACTTAAACTAGAATATACAAGGATGTTGTAATAAGATCCAAATCTAACAGTCTCAGGGAGCAAAAAACAAGAACACATGTAGTCAGGTTACAGCCTTTATTAAATAGCATCTGAGATGAAGGAGATCCTAACGGGGAAGACCCAACATATTAGGTTGCCATAGGTCATGCCAGCAGATTTCATGTGTTTTGGACAGTGGCTTGGCTGAGAGACAGCAAGGCAGCAGGTACTGAGTCTCTTGTAATAGCTCCATGTGCAGAATGCATCCACCTGTTTGATAAATAAATCCCCTCTCCTGAAATTTGCTGAGGTGCAAGATAAGGCAGGTTAACAACTCCATGGAGGAACAGCTGGCCGGGGGGAGGGGCGCATCCTGGTTAGTCTGCTGTTCATTAGTTGAGCATCACTTTTGGTCTGCAGGAAAAGGTATGTGCTTCAGATGGTGTCCCTCTAGAGCCTCTGAAGAGAAAGGAGACACAAAGAAAGAGGTAAATAGTGAGCAAGGATTAGCAGTTAGAAAATGCAATTCCTGGACATGGACACAAAATAGGAGTTTTGTAGAATAGTGTGTAAGAAGAATGCTGTCACCTGAGTACTCTGAGCAAGCTTCAGAGTTTCTCCATGGAATAAGGGGCAGGATGAAAAGAATTAAGTAGTGAAGGAAACACACAGTGTGCAGTGGCTATTGTTCTGCTTCTTCCAGCTTGGGCACCTCCTGTTAAGAAGTGCTCATAGGTGTCTGGCCAGCAGTGGCAACAGGCAGAGTAAAATGAGTGGCCTTGCTTGTCTCATCCTTGCATACATGAGCAGGAGACCACAACTTTCCACTCCTTGCTAGTGAGGATGGTGAATATCCTGGCCCTCTGAATAGAAGTCACATTAGAAAAAATGATGGTTTGTGCAAAATTGTTGGTGTTTTGCACAAATGTGCCTATTTCATGTGCAAAAATCATGGAATTCACATAACTGTATGAATTCTGCAAATCGCTGAAAATTGGAATGATTACAATTAACTTAAAAAGTTGAAGGTTATGTTGTTTGTATCTTTTTTTAACCCTCAGCCACTGTCTTTTTATGCTGTCCTTTTCAAAGGGAAATTTCACTTGGGTCCCTCTTGGTAAATTAAAACTCTACAGGGTGAATAAATCTTTGTCTCACTCTTGGCTTAATGTGAGGAATCTCACAGGGCCTAAGCATGCTTGTTGAGGACTCTCGTGTCAAGACAACCTGAATAAATTTAGTTAATATTCTAATATTTAGCAAATATCCAAGAATATTCAGAAAATATATTAGCCACATGTGACAGTGGATGCCTTCCTTTCTTCAGGAGATACAGTTTCCCCCACCGTTTGGGGCGGGGTAGGAAACTGTGAGACCAGAACCTAAATCCAGCAATGCAATATTCACAGATGGCCAATGGTGTTGTGTGAATTAGCAGAAGTAACAGCAATTCTACATTGTAGCAAATATTTCCCTCTACTTGCTTACCTAGATGTAGTGCTCTTTCTTGACTCCTCCAGTTGCTGACATGGAGTGAATGTTGATGTTGGATCTTTGAGCCAGGAATCCCTTGGTGAGCATCCATTAGAATCCTAGACTGAGATGCTCATGTTCTCATGGGTTTGTATGGTCAGTTTGTTTTTCACATGGTCCCTATTCATGTGTAGTCTTTCTGTGTGTGCATGCTATTAGGCCAGGGAGGTACAGCCCCTTGACATACAGCCTGGAGTCTATTCTCTCTGCACAGGGAGGGTTATATGTTGTCAATGACATACTACAAAATTGTATCCTATTCTCTTTTGTAACGATATCACACATATAACTATTGAAGTAGACAGGAGTGAAATTTATTATAGCAGGTGTGGCCATGGATTGAAGAGTTGTAGGTGATGATACACCTACCTCCTACTTCAAATCCCACCCTGTTTCAGTTTTTGCAGCATTGTGTGTGTCATGGTACTGGTATATCTGGCCTTCTACCATAAGAAGTTGGCTTCTCGTTCAGCCTATGGTTCTTCATCTACTAGATAGTGAATACAGAATGTCATCCTTAAATTTGGAGACTTTTGTAGATGGATTCTTTAGGGTGGTATTTGCCTACAAATTTTTGTTTTTCCGTTATGAAATTCTCCGGTATTGGATGGATCCTTGCCATAATATTTTTCTATTATTTGCCTTACAATTACCTTCTGGCAATTACCTTATGGTAATTTCCTTAAGGCTTGCCAGCTGCAAAATGTAAACACCTTTCTCTTCCAACAGCTTAAGAAGCAAAACCAATCAAATAAGCAAAAAGGTTTGATAGCTTGGTTCTCCCTTTTGATTTAATTAAAATTAGACTTTGACTGCAGCTTTGCAGTGGGGACTGTGCATATAAATGTGACTCCAGGACTGGATATGTCAAGTCAATGTCACCCACTTTTGTGTTTAGCTGCAGATTCAGTGCTTTATAATGGTTCTATGTATAGGGCAATATAAAGGTGCCTACTATTGACAAGGATCCAATAGTGACAGGGTACTTGTACAACTCAGGGTTGTAAGAGCAGTTGCGCAATTTTCCAGGCTTGCACAAGGAGGCATTTGGTATCTCTGCATCAAGCAGTTATCTACTCTCATTGTTCTTTGGGTACAGCTTTGAAGGAGCACTGGAAACTCCAGTCGGCTTTGTAGATGCCAGAATAACCCACCCCTGCTCTGCCCACCACCAACTATTCCAACAATGTTATACTGCATCTCAGCTCATTAAATTACCTCAGAGCTGATGTCATGATGCAATGTCAACAATTCAGTCCTCTTACTGGATGCTGTATGATAGCTGTACTTTTTCTTTGAAAAATTAATTGCTGCCATTACATTAATTGATTTCTCTTATCAAGAGTAAATCAACCCACATATATTCAGATCTGGCTTCATTAGATGTGAAAGTGTGAAAGGACTTTTAGTATCATATCATTGTTATTGAAATAAGCAGGGGGGAAAGGAAGACAAAAGACCTTATCAAAAAGGATTTGACATCCTAACAGGTAATTGTAACCTTGTCACAGCATTTAGTGAACTACTGAAATATGCATCAAGGAAAGAGAGGAAATCGATATTTTAACCTTTTTGTTAATTCTCAGGAATCCTGGAAATGAGTGTTTTATGTAGCCAGGATTCTGGTGAAACAGTGCCCAATACCTTGTTGCTTGGTTATGCCCATGGGAAAGTGAACAGCACTAACTTGCAGTGGCTTTTCACTAGCTACTAACAAGTTCCTGGATTGGTCCATGCCAGAAAATCCCAGAAAGAAATTGCTAATTGGTAGTAAGAAAAAGCGGCAAGTTACGCTGTTTGTCTTCTGTAGATGGAATAATACAGCAGGAGTTCGGTCAGTATGCTTTACATTTCATATGCATTGTTCGGTACTTTAAACTCTTAATGGAATGCCTGGGGAAACATTAATGGGATTTTTTTGTCACACATGCTTCCTAGTGACATTATACAGATCCAGCAAAAATGGCCACTAAATGTTGGGAATGTTTTGGAAAAATGGGACTACTCAAACTATACAGTTCAACTTTTTGACACAAAAGAGGCTTTTTAAAGTAGAGTAATTCTCCTTCGACCCCTTATCAACAAGCTTACCTTGTTGGTAGCTATTCACAATTGTTCACCACCCGACATGACTGCTGTTTCTGTGCTATTTTGTTAGTCCTTTATCTTGTTGCCTGCATGATCCTAGCCAATCAAGGACCATTGATCTAGGATATGAATGCCACAAAGCCATGTAACCCATGAGATGTTTCCCTTACTGTAGAAGTATATCCTGGGATTTATCATTAAGTGGAATATGTAGAATTCTCAGTCACAGGCCTACACTAGGACTCTCTACGACATGGCCTGCAAATGTATGTTCATCACGACAGACTAAACTTTGACCACATGAGAACACCAACTCTGTGTAAGGTCAT